TAATAATAATAATAATAATAATAATAATAATAATAATAATAAAATAATAACAATATCAATAATAATAACAATATCAATAATAAAAACAACTGCAATAATAATATTAATAATAATCATACCACTAATAATAACCATAATAATAATGAATTCCTAAAATACAAGAAACACCCATAAACTTACGGAACAAGTGAGTGATCGGGGTATGTTAATTCCCCAATTTGAATATTTTCTAACGATGATAAGTAGATGCGATTGAACTCCAAATGACGAAGAGCAATGAAGTCGTACTTGACAACTAAGAGAGAGAGGTCACACAGTATCACCACGCGTTCTTTCTCGATGTCCCAGTGGTTAATTCTGCAAATGGTAGAGAAAAAATTTAATAAATGATGACAAGGTTACATTGAATCTCAGGTCATTTTGATTTAAACTTTTTCTATGAATTTAATTGCCTTTCATTTAAACCTGAGTCAAACATAATTTTGTGCATTTACATGTGTGTAATAATGATAACAATAATTACTAAATTAGGGTGTGGGGACAGGCTCTTGTAACTGTGTGCAAAGAATGGCAGGGGTTACCATCAGTGATGCTCACACTGCAGAGCAAATATGCAATGCACTATAAAGTAGTGAGTGAGTCAGTGTAACTGTGAGAGTAATTGTAAGTGTGTATGTGCATGTGTGTGTGTGTGTGTGTGTGTGTGTGTGTGTGTTGTGTGTGTGTGTGTGTGTGTGTGTGTGTGTGTGTGTGTGTGTGTGTGTGTGTGTGTGTGTGTGTGTGTGTGTGTATGTCTGTATGTGGTTGCATCTGGATGTGTATGTATGCATGTGTGTGTGTATGTAGAGGTGTACTGTGTGTGTGTGTGTGTGTGTGTGTGTGTGTGTGTGTGTGTGTGTGTGTGTGTGTGTGTGTGTGTGTGTGTGTGTGTGTGTGTGTGTGTGTGTGTGTGTGTGTGTGTGTGTGTGGTTGTGTGTGTGTGTGTGTGGTGTGTGTGTGTGTGTGTGTGTGTGTGTGTGTGTGTGTGTGTGTGTGTGTGTGTGTGTGTGTATGTGGTTGTGTGTGTGTGTGTGTGTGTGTGTGTGTGTGTGTGTGTGTGTGTGTGTGTGTGTGTGTGTGTGTGTGTGGTGTGTGTGTGTGTGTGTGTGTGTGTGTGTGTGTGTGGTTGTGTGTGTGTGTGTGTTGTGGTTGTGTGTGTGTGTGTGTGTGTGTGTGTGTGTGTGTGTGTGTGTGTGTGTGTGTGTGTGTGTGTGTGTGTGTGTGTGTGTGGTTGTGTGTGTGTGTGGTTGTGAGTGTGTGTGTGGTGTGTGTGTGTGTGTGTGTGTGTGTGTGTGTGTGTGTGTGTGTGTGTGTGTGTGTGTGTGTGTGTGTGTGTGTGTGTGTGTGTGTGTGTGTGGTGTGTGTGTGTGTGTGTGTGTGTGTGTGTGTGTGTGTGTGTGTGTGTGTGTGTGTGTGTGTGTGTATATATATATGTATATATTATATGTATATATATGGTATATATATATATATATATATATATATATATTTACATACATACACATATATACATCGGTGTTGACGTGTGTGTGTGCGCATACACCATTCCCCAAAACCCGTTCCCAGGCGACTCACTCAGTCAACAGCCAGGCGCCCTTGATCCCTCCGTCCGTCTCTGGATCGGTGAGCAGACGACACTCCTCCACCGCCTGCTCCAGCGCCCCGACCCGCACCGAGAAGAACTCCCTGATGCCCGGCTCCGTGCCCGTGTCAGCGTGCCACGAGGCTCGGCGGGGTCGACCTATAGGGGGTTGCTGGTAAAAGGATCGACTCAACCCTGGGGAGACATCGGCGGGTATTGGTGGAGGTGAAAGCGCTGCTGGTTGGGGAGGGGGACGGGTGGGGGTGGAGGAGAAGAGGAAGAAGGAAGAAAAGAAGAGGAGGGGGAGGAGGTGAAGAGGAAGAAGATGCAGAAGAAAAAAAGGAAGAGGAAGAAGATAAGGGAGAAAACAGGAAGAAGATGCAGGAGAAAAAAAGAGGAAGAATATGAGGAAGAAGACGCAGAAGAAAAAGAAGAGAAAGATAAAGAAAAGAGGAAGAAGATGCAGAAGAAAAAAGGAGAGGAAGTAAATGGAACAGAAAGAATAAAAAAGGAGAAACAAGAAGAGTAAGAGTAAGAAGAAAAAGACGAATAATAATAAAAATACGAAGAAGAATAGGAAGAGGATGAAGACGACGATGAAGACCCATTACAAGAAGAGAGGGAAAAGAGAAGGAACACCAACAAGGAGCAAGAAGACAGAGAACAAAGAAATAGAAGAAAATAAAAATAAAATAAATAAGAGAGGAGACTCATTAGTAATAGATTTGCTACATGCTATAAACTTACGAAAATAAATATAAGGTATTTGTTCTAAGACTCAATGCTTTGGCAACTACGGCGTCACAATGCCCGTGTTCGAATAATAACATTCATAATAATGATAATAACAAAGAAAATAATGGTGATGATGATGATATCAAAATAGTTATAATAATAACAACATTAATAATAGTAATAATAACAGCAATAATAATAGTATTAATAATAACAATGATAATAGTAATAGTGGTGATGATGATGGTGATGATGATTATGATGATGATGATGATGATGGTGATGATGATGGCGGTGGTGGTGGGGGTGATGATGGTGATGATGGTGATGAAAGATGATATACTATTAACAAAAATAAAATATATACTTTTACTACCACGTCGGTCCTAACTACCAAATTACCTAATTACTTAACTGAAAGAAAAAAGCTGAACCATCAAAACAAACATATATTCCAAATAAACAATACACAGCCGTGGTTCCCAAACTGCTTTCTTTTTTTTTCTTTTTTTATATTTACAATCCCTTTCTCAAACCTCCAACACATCCGGGACCCTTACACATCCGTCACAAAAAAATTCTTCTAACTACCGAGTTTTCTAGACCGAGAAAACCAATTACACTCCGAAATCTTCATATACCTTATTGTAGTATGATATCCCATGAAAATACAGATTCATATATTTCTTATTATGGATACTGGCGAAGGTCTGGAAAACTGGCAGACAATATTTTTCTCCCCCGAGGCTTCGAGACCCCCTCCTGTTACCCCATTCTCCCTCCCCTCCCCCGGACCCCTTTGAAAGGTCGTGACCCTCCTCTTTGGAACTAATAACGTAAAATAAATATATGAGGTAATTATATCTGTATGTAAACGAATGTGTAATGATGGTGGTGGTGATGATGGCGATGATGATGATGATGATGATGATGATGATGATAATTGATGATGATGATGATGATGTGATGATGAAGATGGTGTGTTGATGTGGTTGGTGTTGATGATGATGGTGGGGATGAACATGGTAATGATGACGATGGTAACGCTGGTGATGGCATTGATGATGGTGACAGTGATGGAGGTAACTAGGATGATAGATGCTAATGATGCTGATGATGATGTCGATGACAATGGTGATGGTGATGTGAATTGCTATGCTAATAATATTGCTATGATAATAATAATAGAAATAATAGTAGTAGTAATAATAATGATAATATTGATGATGGTGCTGATAATAATTAATATTATAATGACAGTAATAATAATGGTGAAGATAATAACTAAATTATTAATAATAGCAGTAATAAACAATATATAAATAATAGTAATAATGCTGATAAAAGCTAACCTTGGCTACAGTAAAAATTATTGGCTTGGTCGGGCGTTGGCGGAGTCACTACATCGGGGTCACTTATGGCTTGTCGTAGCAGAGGTCTTGTTCTTTCCTCGGCATATCTGCAAGGGAAGGTCTTGCTCGTAAAATCTCGTTTTATTTTAATCTTCAGGGATAAAAATGTAGCTTATAGCTGTAATATTCTGTTCACTTTCACTCCCATAAGCACATTTACTTATACAGTGGGGGGTACATACGTGTGTATATGGCAAGAGAGGCACGTATATAACCATACTAAAATGTAGTAGAAGTCCAGTCCACTTTATATATTTGGTATTGATTTAGTCATTACAAGTTACGTAAGCTATCGTGTAATGATAATAAGATAGAAAATATCTTTGAAAACACTCCAGAAAAAAAAGTTCTGCAGTCTAAAAATATTCACAAGCGTTTGTTGACAGTACCCGCGCTTCCTTTGTTCGAAGCTGGCGGGAGATCTCGACTACTGTGTTATTGATCATGTTTGCTCTCTGTGCCACGGTTTTACATTGTCCTACGTGCATACTGGCATCTCTGTCTGGACACACATTCCCTCACATGCAGAATAAATGAGTTTGTTTGTTTGTGAGTGTGACTGTGCTGCGGCAACTTTAGGGTGCGTGCTGTTGAAATCCAGAGTTTGTAGATAATTGGTGAATGAGGATGACTTTCTTGAATAATGATAACTTTCTTGAATCTGCGAGTCCGCCTTGCGTGTCCATAAAGTAATTACGCGACACCTTGCATGCATATAAAGATAAGACTTGCTGGTTATTACAAACAAGGGGTTCCAACGTTGAAAAATCCTGTACTTTATGCCTTCTGCTCGTGTGCATACCAAATCAACAATCTTGTTTTTGGTATGAGGGGTGGGGAGGGAGGCATACACAAATGTATGAATCAAAATTTATGGAAATGTATTTTTTACTTTTACTTCCTCCTCTTCCCCTTAAGTCGATCCTTTCAAACAGACAGACAAACAAACACACAAAACGTTGTATTATATCGGTGGTCAAAAAAGAAATGCTACAAATCATGTAATTAGCATGTGACAGTCGGTGATGACGAATGTAAATATCAATAATCATATGTAAAAAAAAGGTATGAATGAGAAGGAATATCTTCACAATACAAGAACTGTATTTGACCGGTTTTGACTATATCTTCGTCAGAAATACATATTCGAAACCGGTCAAATACATCTCTTGTATTGTGAAGATATTCATTCTCATTCATACCTTTTTCTACATTTGTCAACATGAATACGG